AGTCCTGTCCCAGATTCCCTTTTCTCCTCTCTCTGGTTTCTCCCCTTGAGTGACCTCATCCACTCCCAAGGCTTCAGTTGCTATTTCTGTGCAGCTCCTATCTTTTTTTCCCAGCTGTTTGCTTCCCTCTGTGAGATAACAGAAAATATATACATTGTTCTCCTGACTCAGAGCTCAAAAAACTCTTGTAATTTCCTAAGTGATAAGAGCACGAGGAGCATCTTTTTGTTCTCATATTTGGTCTTTGACTTTGTCTCTGGCACGGGGCTCTTAAAACCATTGTAAATTCCTAAGTGAAAAGAGCTCAAAGGAGCATCTTATGTTCTAATGAGGCCACTCTGGGCAGGCTCCTGAATGGGAGCTGGTCGCTAGAAAGACCAAGCTTAGAAGACCAAGATTAGAAGCTTGGAATTTTCAGCCCTGCTCCCTCCACTCCTCTAGAAAGGATAGAGGGGCTGGAAACGGAGTTAATCACTGGTCATTGCCTACTTGAGGAAGCCTCCATAACACCCCAATAATAGAGCCTTCGGGGACCTACTAGGTGGGTAAACACATCCACCTAGAGGAAGGGCTGTGCATCCCAGCTCCACAGGGACAAGAAACTCCTGTGCTAGGGACCCTCCCGGACCTCACCGTATATATATCTTCATCTGCCTGCTTATCCGTATCCTTCACCATATTTCTTAATAAGCTGGTAAATGTAAGCACGTGTGCCCCTGAGTTCCATGAGCCACTCCAGCAAATTAAACTTGAGAAAGGGAACGTGGGAACTTACGACTTGTAACTAAGATGGACAGAGGTTGTGTGTAACCTGAGAACCTACTTTTTGCAATTGGCTTCTGAGATGGGGGACAATCTTGGGAGACTGAACCCTTTACCTGTGGGATCTGACACTCTCTTCAGATAGATTGTGTCAGAAATGAGTTAAATTGTAGGACACCCACTGGCTGTTGCAGAATTGCTTGGTGTGGGGGTTTTCCCCACATCTAGTATCAGAAGTGTTGTGTGGTAGTAGTATTTGACTAAAGGAGAAACGCAGGAAGGAAGACTGAGGGGTTTTATGTTTTTTTTTTTTCCCTATACTCCCTCCTGCCAACCATTCTCTTCCCTTCTCTGCCTTGCTTTGGGTCTTGGGGCACTGACCTCTGTGACTGCATCAATGAGCTCTCTTGCCCTCGGACTTCTTGTTGAGTCCAGCCAGTGAGAGGAATCGGAAACTAGGAAGGTGGGAAAGAAAGGAGTCCTCCTACTGAGGTCTTTCCCCAGAGACCTGAGAACAGAGGGCAGGGGACTGGCGGGAGGATTGAAGTTCAGGGCCACTGCCAAGGAGAAAGAGTGAAGAGGCAGTCAAAGGCTCCCTGGCTCAGACCCAGGCAGGCGGATCGGGCGGACTCATTCATCCAGGGCCAGCCCGGGGCCGAGACTGCCGAGCTGGCTGGCCCGGCCCAGGCCCGTCTGGGGGCTGGGAGGGGATTTCTTCAGACTCCCTCCCCCGGGGCTGGGCGAGCAGGAACCTCTGGAGGATTTTTAATTTGGGGAGGGACCAAGGAGTGCCTGGCAGGGCGGCAACTTCAGGGCAGCTGAGGCAGCCCGTTGGCCCAGGGCACCTGGAAGCCAGGGAGCAGCCTCTCCTGCCTGGGACGCCCGTCCGCCCCCCGAGGTAAGCTGCAGGGCCCGGGAGCCGGTGGCCCGCGTCCCTCCGTGGGGAGCAGGGGGCGGAGGCCGAAAGCGCAGGGCGCGGGGTGGGGGAGCCGGGGGCCCAAGGCCAACCGTGGGGTGCTCCCTTGGCAACCTCCTTCCGGTGTAGCCTTCAGGAGTGGCTGCTTGGGATCCTGCTACTTTCATTTTAAAAGTTGGCAGCATGTTGGACCAGGAGTTAGGGGGCTTTCTCAGGCTCCCCGCGCCAGCGACGTGATGGGAGGATCAGGTAATGAATGCCATTGTCCCTTCCCAGCGGTGGTCAGTCACTGGCCGTCTTTCTCTCCCTTCATCACATTCTTCCCAGTAACCTGCCCCCACTCCCACCCCGCAATTTTTTATCTCCCTCCAAGGAGCCGGATCCTAGCCCTCCTGTGCTGCCCCTGGAGACCACAGCCAGGGGACACAGTCTCTGGTTTGTTCCTGCAAGGCGAGTTTCCAGGGTTATTTGTTTCCTTCTTCCTGGTACCGCTGTCTGAGGGATTCTGTTCATTTCTTCATTTGTTATTCATTTGTTTACGCATCATTGTTTGAGCCTGTGCCTGGATTCTCTGTGGGGGATCAGGCACGGGACACACAATTTCCGCTGGGAATAAGGAAGACGGAAATTTGTTTCACAAGTGTGTGATGATCATTTATAAGCTGGTGGATAGCACAGCAAAGTGGAAACTCATTTTAGGGTCATAGAGACACTGGATTCAGGTCCCACCTCTTCCTGAGTCTCGGTTTGCTCATCTGTAAAATGGTATTGTTATGAAGACGACATGAGACAACACATGTCAAGTACCAAGCCAGGTGCCAGGCACACAGTGGGGCCTCAGCAAACATCTGTGCTCTTCCCTTCTTCTTGGTCCACTTTCTGCCATGCCTCTCCCTAACTGCCACCTTCCAGTGGCTTGTAAAGATACGTCGGACAACACTGGCCTTGAAGGCACTTAGCAGGTCTGTAAACACCGAACTGGGAGGGAAGGGGGAGGTGGTGAAGGGAGGGGTGGGGGTGGGGCTGACTAGGGAAAGCGCCTCCTGCTGGCTGAAGGTAAGAACGCAGACCCGGCCTGGGACCTCTAGTTGGAGGGAGATGGAGGCTGTCTTGCTGTGTTTCTGAATTTGCATATTCCCACCGGCCCTGGGATGGGAACTACCAATTCCTAAAACCAACTCTGCCTGACCTCAGACTATAGGCTTTTAAAAGCATTATCTCATTTAATCATAACCCTTTTACAGTATTATTAGCCCTATTTTACAGATGAAGGAAATGAAGATACAAACAGTGGAAGGGATTTGCCTGAGGTCACATAGCTAATAAGTAATGAACCTAGAATTCAAATCGAGGTCAGACTCTAGACTCCATGCCCTTTGTTCAACTCCTTGCTGTCCTTCAAGTTTCTACGTAGCAGAAAGCACAAAAGGACAGCATCCCTCCCCCAACCTCCTGGACGCTGGCTTCCCACTTCCTGTGCATCTCCTGCTCTGGGCTGCTTCAGCCAAGTGGGAAAGCGCGCACTCCTTCCCTGATTCACTAATTCACTCATTCATACTTCATGCATTCAGTCAAGGGCTCTGTTGGTCCCCAGAGGGCAGGGACCATGTCTGTGTTCACTGTTTACAACCAGTGCTCTGTATATGTCCCTGAGACTGTTCGATAAATCCTTTGTGAGTAAATGATCCAATAAACATTAACTGATGCATTCTATGGGTTCCATAATAGGGATTCAAAGATGAATAAAACAGAAGTTCTAGCTTCAGGGTTTTCACTGCCTTGTGGAGGAGACGGTGATGATATAAAGAAAACAGTGGTACCCTAGGCAGGAGCCGAGGTTGCTGAGGGGACTAAAAAGGGCATTTAATTCTACCATGTCTGCTTTGTTCGCCACTGTATCCCGTGCCTCGCATGATGACAGGCACACTGTAGATGCTCAAAAAGGCTTTGCAGAGGAGGTGTTAGGACAGAATCTTGAAGGGGTTGTTAGGACTTCTCCAGGAGAACCACCTGGGGAGGGAAGATCCTCTGGCAGAGGGAGATGCTTGTGAAAAGCCTAGTGGAGGGCAGGGGTTGGAACTGCTTAGGGGCTGAAACTAGTGGTTATCAGGGGGAAAGGGAAAGGGAGGGGGACAAGATAGGGGCCGGAGATTAAGGGGTACAAAGTACTCTGTATAAAATAAATAAGCCACAAGGATAGATTGTAAAGCACAGAGAATATAGCCAATATTTTATAATAACTATACATGGAGTATGATCTACAAAAATATTGAACCACTGTGTTGTACACCTGAAACTAATATAATATTATAAATCAACTATACTGTAATAAAAATTAATTACTTAGTTAAAGACAACAAGGGGTAAAAAATGAAGGTGGACTTTCTTCTGGACAGGAAATTATTCTGGTTTGGTTGATTGGTTTGACAGAGAGGACTAGTTTTGACAATTGGATTATATGGTAGACGTGTTCCATAAACTAAACAAGCTAAATCTGTAGCTCCAAGGTTTGGATGAAAATATATCTAAAGCCTGTTGCTAATGAAAACTATGCCAGGAAATTCTGTCTTGGAATCGATTTTCACTTGTGAAACATAATTTCAGGTATTAACTTAAAAGTGAGAGAGATGTAGCTTTTCCAAAATTCTTATGGGGATCCATGAGCAATAGAGATGCAGACTACAGGTGTATGGTGTACGTAGCATCACTGGCCACATGCAGCATCGTGGGGACGAGCATCCTGACCAGCTTAGGTCAGGTGGCTTGCCCGCAGGTAAGCAGGGGCAGAGTTGGAGCAAGAACCAGGGTCTTCTGAGTGTGGTAATTTCATTGCTCTTTCTATGACTCCAAACTTCCTCCTTCCTTCCTTCTTCTACTCACTTGATGGTTTATTCAGCAAACACTTAGTAAGCACCTTTCGATGGAGTAGAAAAGAAACCTTTCCTACTTTCCTGGAGCTTATATGGTAGTTGAAAGAGACAGACAACAAGTAAACAAATCAGACATTTTTACACAGTGGTAAGTGCTGAAAGTGAGTAAGCAGGGGGCGTGACGGTGTGTGTGGGGTGGGCAGAGAGTGGGCTGAAAGCTTCAGGGAGGCCAGAAAAGGCTTCCTAGGGAGGTGCTGTTATAAGGGAGCTAGCCTTGAGTGCACGTGTTGGGTTTGGGGGGTGGGGCAGAGGAGAAAGCGTTAGGTAGAGGGAGCAGCAGGTGCAAAGACCCCAAGGCCGGAGAGTGCTTGGTGTGTACCTGAGACGGAAAGAAGGCCCCGTCGTTGCAGCAGAGATGTTGGGAGAGAGTGGTAGAATTCTACAAAGAAGGCAGGAGCTAGGTCACACAGGACTTCTCAGCCGTGGCAAGGGTCCTGAGTTGATCTCGAAGGCAACGGGAAGCTGCTGAAGGATCTTGAGCAGAGAGTCGATGTACTCTGATTTATGGCTGTGTTTTGTCTGGCTTTGGAGAGCAGGTAGGAGCGCCAACAGAGATGGAGACTAACTGGGAGGCTACTTCAGGTGAAACATCTGCAGTCGACTCTGCTGAGGGACAGGAAGGTGAACCATGTTACTAGGAAGGCCGAAGGGTCTGGGATGTCATGTTGTCTTCTAGTTCTGATGTGTTAGTAACTATTGCTGTATAACAAATCAGCGTAAAACGTTGTATGTACAACCACCGCCGTATTCACTTGTCATGATTCACTGGGCCTGGAACTTGGGCAGAATTCAGTGGAGCAGTCCTGCTGTGTGTAGTGATGTAGTGTCAGCTGGGATCATTCACTTGGCTGTATTTAGTTCGTGGATGAGCTGGGCTGGAAGGTCCAAGAAGGCATCACTCATAGATCTGCCACCTGGGCCCTCCTCCACATGGCCTCTCTCCATGTGAGTAGCTCGGGCTTCCTCATATCATGGTGGCCTCGGGGTAGGTCCACCTTCTTGTATGGTGTCAGGCTTCAAAGAGGGAGCATTCCAAGAGGAAAAAATGTGGGGCGGCAGCTCCCTGCATGCCTGGCTTTGGGAGGTTTCCAGCACTAATTCTACTGTGTATTATCAATCAAAAGCAGTCACAGGGCTGGCCCAGATTCAAGGAGAGGGGAAATAAACCCACCTTTTAGTGGGGAGAATGGCAAATAATAAACTCAGTCTTAAATCTACTGCACCAGGCCTCTGGGAAGTGAATAACTATAACTTCCCTGATGATGCTGACCCACTTTAAAGTCTAAACCACAGTACTGTAGTCCCCCTTCCTTATCTGTGGCTTTGTTTTCCCCAGTTTCAGTTACCTGAGGTCAACCTTGGCCTGAAAAATATTAAATGGGAAATTCCAGAAATGAACAATTCACAAGTTTTAACTTGTGTGCCGTTCTAAGTAGCGTGATAAAATCTTGAGCTGTCCTGCTGTGTCCCTTCTGAGATGTGACTCATCCCTTTGTCCAGTGTGTCTTGCCCCCTTAGTCACCTAGCAGTCCAGCTATCAGTCGTGGTATCACAGCACTTGTGTTCAAGTCACCCTTATTTTACTTAATAATGATCCCAGAGCACAAGAGGAGTGATGCTGGCCTTTTGGATATGCCAAAGAAAAGCCCTAAGTGCTTCCTTTACGTGAAAAGGTGAAAATCTTGACTTAATAAGGAAAGAAAAAAAAAAATCAAATGCTGAAGTTGCTAAGATCTACAGTAAAAAACAAATTTTTTCTGAAATTGTGGAGGAAAAAGAAATTTGTGCTAGTTTTTCTGTCACACCTCAAGTTGCAAAAGTTATAGCCACAGTGTGTGATACGTGCTTAGTTAAGATGGAAAAGGTATTAAGTTTGTACAGTAAGATATTTGGAGAGAGAGAGAGACCACATTCACATAACTTTTTTTTTACAGTATTGTTATAATTGTTCTGTTTTATTCTATTGTTCTAAATTTGTTCTATTCTAAAATTGTTCTATTTTATTATTAGTTATTGTTGTTAATGTCTTATTGTGTGCCTAATTTACAAACT